AGTACAATTGCACTCGCAAGAGTGCAATGGAACGCATTCCATTGCACTCTTGGGAAATGGAATTTTCTATTCAATATCACGTGACCATAAACAGCCAATTAAACGATCAGAATTCAATAAGGTATTATATAAAATAATATGAATAACGTCTTAATCATCCATTTGCAATTAGGCTTTTAAAAGAAGTGAGAAACAAAATGGCGCAGAACTACAACTTCCTGGTCTCAACCTAACAAATGATCAAGTGTTCTTTCTATCCTTTGCTCAGGTTAGTTATTAACGTGCTGACGTGCCAATATACTTAATTAATTAAACTGCTACCCGTGTTTCAACCTGAATATCATTTCAAATTAGACGTGGTGTTATTTTCTTTGACCATTTGAGCATAAATGGGAAATGATTTCTTATTAGGTTTGGTGTTCAAAATATACAAAAGATGCGTTAGAAGACACGATAAAATATCATGTGCCAATGATGTTCAGGTAGGAATCGTTTTTTGGTAAAGCCAGTGGGCATTGTTTTCGATTTGATTACATTTTCCCCCTTTTACCGGTTTAGAGTAACAGGGCCACTACGCAACTCAGTGGAATTTTCCAGAGCATACCGCTGTCCTGTTGGCTCAAGGATGAATCCAGCACAAAAATGTGGTGTATGGTAAATATATTGGCGAAGTGATTTCAATAGATCATAATATAATGCATATCATAAATCAATGACGTATGCACACATTATTCAATAATAGCGTGCAACTCGCAAGTCGTGAAAATAGGGGGTTTTATTTGGCAATGCCAGTGGCTGATCGTACGAACGCTTATAAAGCTAAATAATCATTTTACAACGAATCCATGAAATTTTAAATTAAATAAATTCTAGCCCAGAGAATATGAGCGAAAAAAATGATAAGAACTTTTCTAATTATGTATTATAGTCTTTGTATGATTCTTAGCTAAATATAAGCAGATGTAAGCTTTTATACTGCAGAATATAAACTTGTTTTATAGATGGAGAATTTGTTATAGATAGAAACGGCACCATGCATACCCGTCACCATACTCAATTCTACCCGGTTGTAGTAGTTCTACCTTGTTCTTCCATATATGGTCCATACTCAGTTCTACCTCGTCACAAAACTCAGTTCGACCATGCATTGCACTGGTTCCACAGAACATTAAAAATTCTTCACAGCACAAACCATAACCTGTTATTATAGCTATCATAACAATAATAGATCGCTGACCAAACTCATGCATGCGCAAGTGCTCAAATTAAAATTTGTAATTTGTCATTTTTTCTGTACGACAGGTGCACTAGCTGTTGAAAAGCTAGCCAGCATAGTGCTCATAGTAGCTTTGTACTTGTCATAGTAAAAATTGGCAAAGTTGCCTTTACAGACGAGCAAATAAAAGTTGTCATATATGAAAGCTTGTCATAGAAAACTTGCTCTGTAACCGCTTTGAGACCTTTAAGTCTGCAGAATTTGATAAAACGGTTCTAAAATACTAAGGAGTGCGCCTAACGCGTAATACGATTGCTATTTATGTAGAACAATGACACGCTTTGTTTAGTACATGACCTTCAATGATAAGGTTACCACAACTTGACAGATTGAACGCGCGTTGATTTGCGCACGCAATAACACAACACTACATCGTTCATAACATCTGCGCTTATAACCCGAGCACAACTTCAAGACTTTTTAGATCGAAGTACCAGTATTGATCAACCGCAACGAAATAGCGAAGATGAAACTAAAAGTTCTTTTGGGTTTCGTCGCGTTGTATATTTGTCACTGCCAAGCGCGCGTCCAGTTGCGTCTAACTGACGGTAAACATAAATACGAAGGTCGTGTTGAAGCGTTTGTCAACAGCCAATGGGGACCGATTTCAGCCCGCGGTTGGAATAAAAAAGCAGCGCAGGTCGTCTGTAGACAACTGGGGTTTGGCGGCAAAGTTATACGTTACACCAAGGGGTAAGTCATGGTAAAATACGATAAATAAAAATATATACATACCTGTTAGTTACGCCATGTTAATATTGTTTTTGACACAAGTGTGTAAGGTAATACTTTCATGATGAGTTTAAAATTGACACATGACAAGTTTATTGAAAACTTCAAGTATCTTGCTATACGGCTATACCGTTTCTCGCCCCCCCCCCCTCCCCCTCCCCCAGCGGCGCTAGGCAGGCTATGTGCTCACGCCAATACATTGTTTCACCATGGGGAATTATTAATATCGTAGGGGAATTCTGAAATCAGAGGGTGTTATCTAGGTGGAGGAAACAGCTCTTTTGATTGGGCAGATTAATGTTAAAATCTTTTGCAATATTGATGGTTATTTTGGGACATTCCGGCGTAAGGAAGGAAAGGCGTATGTCCTTCCTGAATATGTGTTTTAGATTTCTAAAATTATTTTCTCAATAAAATAACTTAATACTAAAGTGTATTTTTACAACAGTAAGTGAGTCACCCAAAGGAAAACGTATCAGTGTTAACTGGATTGACAAAGAATTGTCAATATTTTTGAGCATGTCATTTTGTATATTCATATATCAAAATTTTATCAGTTTTCTAAGTGTTGACAAGCTTTGTGTGTTTATAATCATTTCTTTTTAAGAGTAACCTATGGTCACCCCAAGGGTCCGAGACCAGTATGGCTTGAGGCGATAAACTGTAATGGAACGGAGAATCACATAGATGACTGTAACCATAGTGGATGGGTGAAGTCAAAACGGAGATTAAATTTTTTTGATTTAGCTGGTGTCATGTGTTATACTGCAGAAGGCCGTGTTCTTTTCCCACCAGTTGCCTCAGCCTGGGGTGATATTAATGTAGGTATTAACTTCACAATTTGTGGAGGAGAAAAATTGAAATGAAATCCCACAATTCTGTTTATTGCGGGGTATCAAGTGCACCAGTGGCGTGCTGGGTACTATTTTTCTGGGGGGGCCAGTCGGCTGGCAACTAATATGCGCCCCTATAATATTACCCTTGATAAACGAGGGCCGAAGGCACGAGCCGAGCGGCACAGGTGCGAGGTTTGTCTAGGGGGGTCTGGGGGCATGCCCCCCGGAAAAATTTTTGAATTTAGAGTCTCTGAAATGCCATTTCCTGAACTTTGGGGGAAGATTTGACAGAAATCTAATGGTCAGGAAACGGCATTACAACGTGTCGAAATTTGAAAATTGGTTAGAATTTAGTAGTAGCACTTAAATTGGGCAACGCTAACTACTTCCAGCAATTAATCTAATCCCAATTTTATTCTCTACTGATCTGAATTGATTTACAACTTACAGCTCTTTTATATAATAACACACGGACCCCACGCATATATGCATGATTTCCGTGATCGCTTCGAAGCCTGATCAATATTCCGGTAATGAGACATTGCGTGTGATCACTGATCATGTTTCTATATGAACGAGTGATTTCGTGTGAGTCGTAAGGTAGCAAATACGGTTAGACAAAATAGTCTGCAATTTAATATACTCACTCACTTTGTCGCCTATGCGCTTAGTCTGTTTATAAGTGTATAAACAAATCTTTCCTTGGCGGAATTAGTAACTATATTTCTTCGAATGCGTTTCTTCCCACCTATATTCAAAATTCGGCGCGGGATCGGCGCCCCCTTTTCATTTTTGCGCCCCTCAAAAATTGCCAGCTGGGGGGGCCGTGGCCCCCCGGCCCCCCCTGCCAGCACGCCACTGAAGTGCACGACTAGACATTGCACAAAATGAAAGGATAAAACATCGTTTTCTCACATTGAATACACCGGTTGACTTTCCACGATTTCACGTATATAACACAGTACGGACTCGTATGAAAAGAGTCGGTAAACGCTCTGCCGAAAGTCATGGGTTTTCTCCAGGTGCTCCAATTTGCTCCCACAAGGAAAGTTGACAGAATGGGCTAAGATAAGCATAGTTAGGAAAGTATTATAACACAATTGTTGTAAAGATAAAATAGCCTATAGGCTAAGTAACTAATTATAGGTAAGCATAATACTTGATATAGATGTTTTAAATAATTGTAATCGCGGCTAGTTTTCGACTTCAACCAAGTTTTTTCAAGGTCATTAGTTTTGGTATAAAACATAGATTTCACTCGCGGGTGGGGTACTAAACATTTAATACTAAACTTATTTTCAACAGGCAACTAAGGTAAAATTCTGGTTGGATGGTGACATAGAAAATGGAATCATCAGCGCTGGCTATCTGATTATGTCTTATAAAAACATCAAAGGATATGTCTGTGCGGACAAATGGACGTGGCACTCCAACAATATGAGGGTTGCTTGTGGGCATCTTGGTTTCCCTGAAGCAATCAAACTGCGATCAATGCTGAGTAACTGGCCTTTTATTTTGAATGGCCTCGACTGTAAGGGAACAGAATCGTCATTGTTATCATGCAACCACACTGGTTACGCTTACAAGCAACAGACATGCAAAAGCAATACAGCAGTTTGGTTGCAGTGTAAGGTGTTCAACAGGACATCTAAGTTCAAAAATGTAAGCCGGTTAACATTTTAACTATTTTAAACTGTTAAGGCTTTGCTCGAATTTACCTGAAAAAGATCAAGATCTAGAGAACTTCGATCGACGCTTCAAGCGAAGTCCCTTCGCCGGAGATTTTCTTGATCTTTTTCAGATAGATCCGAAAACAACTCCATATAGTTAATAATTATGCTTACAAACATATCATAAAACAAAGCTTTCCTTACTCATACAACTGTGAGAAGAGGAAGAATATTATCTACTGTCGCCCTATGAGAATTAAATTACTAACTGAGAAAACTTTGGATTAAGAGGAGATTTTTGCCTTGTTACGTAACAAAACTCATGCGTATATAATATTCCACTTGAGGTTATGACTAAATTGAAAATTTTTATTTTTCGATGCGTTTCTCAATCGGCAAACAAACTTAAAAAGTATGTTTAGTGCTTTATCTGTAAAATAATGCTAAAATGAAGAGATTTTAGATGATACGCCAAAGAGAAAATGATGCCTGAAGCTCAGTAAGTTTTGCTTAATTATATGGCTGTAAATATGGCGTCAATTTTAAAGCATCATTGATAATTCAGGTATTTTAATTGACAATTTTTAACTATTATTTTATGTTTCTCAACCGGCAGATGCATTTAAAAAGGTTGCTAACTGTATAAACTAGAGAATAAAGCTAAAACAAAGTAATTTTGAGAGGAACGCCAAAAAGATTTTAGGTTTTGAACACTTTTCATTGCAAATACGTGACATTGAAAAAAATTGCCTCTAAAATATATAATAGGAACGCATCTGCCTGAAAATACAAGGAGAACTTCGACGTTTGTATTTTCTTCAGGTAGTCATCGCTATCAATCCAAAGCTTTCTTATTCAACCATTCAGGATTTTGTACTAAATTGAGATGAATATAATTAAATGATTTAAAATAGCGACTAAAGTGGGCTGAAGAGGCCAAACAAACTAAGAGAGACTCTGTTTTTTTCAGTCAGCGAATTTAAAACTACGCGGAGCGGCTTATCCATGGGGAGGGCGAGTTGAGCTCAAGTATAAACATAGTTGGACTACCTTGTGTGATGACACGTGGGACCTCTTTGCCGCCAACGCAGTCTGTCGTACTTTGGGGTATGGTACTGCAAATGAGGCCAGTTTTGCTGCAAAATATGGTCAAGGAACTCAACTGGTATGATTGTAAATTTCCACAGAAAATAAAAGAATCAATAATATACTTATAACATGGCATATCAATTCTGTATATTTCATTGAATATTTTAGACCATCGTAGATGGTGTCAAGTGTCAGGGTTACGAAAATGATATAACGAATTGCAAGTGGACGGTGATATTTCCGAAAAGCAATTGTTCTCATTTTGAAGATGCTGGAGTGGAATGTAACGCTCCTATGTACCAACTGAAAGAGGTAAGTCAGGGAACGAGTTGTATTTTTTCTTTTGTGTTTACAATTTTGACAATTTTCGTTCAATTACCAGGTTCGCTTGGTTGGTGGAAAGAACTCTTCTGAAGGCCGCGTTGAAGTGAAAATTAACGGGGAATGGGGAACAGTATGTGGTGATCATTGGCATGTGAAATCCGCCATGATCGTCTGTAGGGAACTGGGTTTGAATTTTGCGGAAAAGAATATCACCGGAAACGAGTTTGGTGTTGGTGAAAAAATAGTGATGAGTAAACCAATCTGTATTGGTGATGAGATATCGCTGACGCAATGTCTCCGTGACGACAACGTCACGTGTTCATCCTCTGAAAAAGTTGCCGGCGTTCGTTGTACTGATGGTAAGACCTACCACTTGCATGGATCTCAATCTGAGTCCAAGTAACATGAGTCGTCCCAGACCACCCCTCGTTCATCTGGGCTAACATCTCACCATCCAAATAGGTCATGCTGTTAAAAATGGAGAGTAGGGAATTTGCTTAGGTTGGATAACTTTATTATACTTGAAAGCTCATGTAAGTAAAGTCTGCTACTTCTCTGCTATGCTTCGTCGCTTCGAGAGTTTTCTCCCTTATCAAAAACTAACTATAGTCTAACTATATACTAACCACGAGATGAATTGGGGAACCACACCCCATGTAATCGATATAACTCATTATCATAACTCATTATCCGACAATTGATATCCAAAGATCCATTAAGACCCTCGGTTTTATTAGCCTAACAAGCCCTAACTGAAATTTTCTGTCTTCTGCTTTCTAGCGCTACCCGACTTGGCATTGAGTATACGTGGCATTTATAGAACTCTTCGCGTGGATTACTTGCCTAACACCATGTTGCGTTGTTCTTGGGAGGAAAACTGCTTGACAAGCTCAGCCAATAGGTATATGAACAATTTCTATATGCGATATTATAGAAGGCGTTTGATGAGATTTAGTACGATCATATTAAATTTTGGCTCCGCCGACTACCGACCATTAGCGAAGAAAGAAGACTGGATTTGGCATACTTGTCACAAACATTTTCACTCGCAAGAAGAATTCGCCACCTATGACTTGTTGAGTAAGTAACATTCTGTCACCTTCCGTGGTCTCTTGAGCTTATTCCATTTTCCTAGTTGTGATACTACTCCTACAGCTAGCGCGTAGCAAACACATAACCAGGAACTGATTCTTCCAGCAGAAGCAAGTAATGAATGCAACAGGCCCGTATCTGAGGGGGAGGGGGCTGTGGAGGGCAGTGCTCCCCATCCGGAAACAAAATTGAAATCATGACCCCCGCCCCCGAAACACACAAAATTTGTTCTTTTTTATTTTAATTATTTTTGCCGAAGCTACAATTGACCCTGGTTTACTTTATAATCGGATTATATTTGCTATGGCTCCCATGTTTGGTTAAGTTCATTTATAGCTAGAAAGTTGATTTTCTATGTTTAGTTTAAAGTTTTAAGAAATATTAAAAGTTAAATCTAATATTCTTCACGGTCTAGAAGAACGTATTTTTACCAATTTTTCCAGGGCTGCGACCAGAAACTAGCACAAAAACATCCCCTCAGCTAAATTTTTCAGCAGTGCCCCCTCCCCCCAGAAATTGAGAGCCGGCTACGGGTTTGGAATGCAATTAGGAAGCGAGCAACCTAGGAGCTCCAAACAGAGTCCAAACACTGACTAAATATTATATTCGGACTGTCCCAACCGTACATCGATCCGAAGCTGAGGGTCGTCCTCACCCGACCCAGTGATTCCCATCAGCCGCAGAGTTGCTGGTGCAAATCTTATTCGTGGAGGTAGCGACGATATAACATGACAGCTACGACTTACGACTTTACATTGCTTCGTACGCCCGCAGCATATGCTAATGAGAACAAGTTGTTTTCATAAAGTTGTTAAACCGTTTTCAGCTTCAGATAAAAGAAGACGAAAAGTAGCCGAAGGGCACAAGGCAAGCTTCTGCCTGGAAGACACGCGCTGCCTGGCTGGAGTAGACAGGACGTATAATTGCACTGCTGGAACACAGGGGATCTCAGTGAACTGTTTTGATGACTACGCCTATAATATAGATTGTCAATGGATCGACGTCAGCGATGTACCTTATCTCAGATCGTACATACTACATGTAAACATCAATCCTAAATTTGAAGTGCCTGAAACTGATTTCGACAATAATGTTGTGGTGTGTGATATCTATGATAGAGGATCGTTTATTCGCGTAAGGGATTGTGGTTATGGTGAGTGCATTCTTGAATATCCGAAAAGTTGTTAGCTGCTGTTTAGCTTATCTGTGGCGTTTCTGACATTTCGACACTTTTTGTCAAAAATACACTAAATTATGAATATATGACAATTGACCATTTGCGTAATAGACTAAATTTTGATCTCAACAA